CTTTCCACCACCACCTGACACCCCTCCCCCTTCTCTTTTTCTTCATCCTCCTCCTTTTCCACCTCCTCCCGGTATTCCTCCTCTCCTTCTTCCTCTCCCTCCTCTATTTCACCCTTCCCTCTTCTCCTTCCTCCTCCTTTTCTTCCTTTATTTCCATCACCGCCCGCTATCCCTCCTCCCCTCTCCTCCCCCCCTCTTCTCCTTCCTCCCCGCCCTCTTCCTCCTAAAGGATCAAGAACGAGGACAGCGTGAAGCAGCTGAACGCCGTGCCCCTCAGCGGCAACCAGGAGTTCGACACTGACAACGGCAAGAAGGCCATCAGGATCGAGATCAGCAGCGCCTCCTTCACCAACATGGGCAGCCTCAGGAGGTCCAGGAAGACCACCCTGGATGCTAACAGGGTAAGGACAGGAAGCGGTTTCGGGAATGGTGTTGGTTTCGTTTTCTGGCGATATTAGCTGTTCGACTGGCATTACGGGTATATTGTTTTTCAACATAAAGAGGCCAGGATAGTTGGGTTCTTTGAATGGTTTATATATGCATATAAATTTATCATCACTGAAAGATAGGGTGTATGATTCTTGATGTTCATAACAGTGCTGTTATAATCATAGGAATGCTACTAAGACTATCAAATCCTAATATTTCCACAACATTTCGAATTTCCTGCAGCTTCCCGTCCCTTGCATCTATCCCAAACCCCTCATAAAGCATGCCGTTCTTTCTTCTCAGCACCTGTTGTCCGGCAGCTTCAGCCTCGACAACGTCAACGTGAGAGCGAACTACAAGCTCTCCATCGACAAGATCGGCGAGGCCCCCGCCAACACGGCCACGGGCCAGGCCTCCTTGTTGGCGCAGAAGGTCTTCGCCGATTTCGTGTTCATGGTTGACGCCAACGGCCTGCCGGTGGGCATCCAGTCCTGGAGAGCTCGCGTGGGAAGGCGCACATACCTCGGAGTGAGTCATGGGGCTTGGGGTCCTTTGGGGGGTCTAGGAGAGCCTTGTATATCCTATGGCGTTTGTTGAAGACTAGGACTGTGGAAGCGACCGGAGGGAACGCAGGGAAATGAAATGCTCATAGGGATGATGATAATAATTATAATGACAAGAAAATAATAACGAAAATAAAGATAAAGATAATGAAATGATTATAACAATGATGAATCAAAGTAATTATAATGATAATAATAATGATATAGTAATAATGACAATGATAATGACAATGTCAAAATAACAATAATAGTTTAAAAACTAATTACAATCAGAGCCATAATAAACATAATTCTAGTAAAAATCACAATAACAGCCATGATGAATATAACAATTAACATTTCAAAATATTGTAGCATTCTTTTTCCAGCCTCTAAGTACATGACTAACCGAAAGCCTTATCCTCGCCTCCTCCCAGACCCCAAACCTCAACGGAAATCCTTACAAGGATGTGTTCAACAGCGTCCTGGACAGCACTCTGAGGAGCCTCGTGGAGAGAGTCGTCGAGAAGGACTTGTACAACCTCGTGAACAACCAGGTCGTTGGGGAAATGGAACTGCAGTAGACGGCGCCCGAGAATAGGACAACAAACAGGCGGCGGCGCATTCATGTCCTCGACATGTTTTGCGACGACCGATCAGCTGACGATCTACGATACGAACTGATTCTTGCTTATGTTCTTGCTCTTAGGCCGTCTACTTTGTATACTTTGGTGAAAGTGTATCATCAGTTGACGTTTTCTTATATAATGTGATAACTAGATTGTCCATCAGTTTCCTGAATAAATATATCAATTTAGACTGTAGTTTTATGTTACATCTTCCTGTAGACGAACATGTATAAAATCCTATGTGTAAATTCACGCACGCACATACATACACACACATACATACATATATATGTCTATGTACACACACACACACACACACACCACACACACACATACACGCATAAATATATATATATATATAATATATATATATATATATATATATATATATATATATATATATATATTATATAATGTACATTATATTTGTGTCTATGTATACACACACACACACACACACACACACACATATCTATATATATATATATATATATATATATTATATATATATATATATATAATATATATATTAATATATTATATATACATATATATTGATAGATAGATATGTATATATATACATAAAATATATATATATATTATATATATATATATATATATATATATATATATATATATATATATAATATATGTATATATATATATGTATATATGTTTATATATATATATATATATATATATATATATATATATATATATATATATATATTATATATATATATATATATATAATATATATATATATATATATATATCTGTGTGTGCATATGTATGTGTGTGTATATATATGTGTGTGTGGTGTGTATATGTGTGTGTGTGTGTATATGTATATATATATATAAATATATATGTATATGTGTATATATGTGTGTGTGTGTG